AAATTTCATTTAATTGGAATCACATGTCTAAAATCTAATTTTAAGAAAAGATTTATATATTTATAATAAATGACACATATAATAATAATAATGATATGATCCTTTAATGATCACATAAAAACACAACTCAAATATGCGTTCTTATAGAGATAAGTGAAAGTATTAGCCATATAGTTTAGGAGTATTCGACCTTTCTTATAAATTTTAATGTGAAAATATCTAATTTCACAAATTATTATGATTATATATGTATATTAACTATAAAAAAATAATGAGAATAATTAATTTTCCTCACTCGTAATATGGTATTCGAGCAATATTCTTTTCGATAGTTTTTTATTAACTCTCTTTCCATGTAACTCTTAAAGAAACACTAGTTAAAAAACTCTGATTCTTATTTCTTGAACTTTTTTTTTTCTTCAAGCACCATAAAAAATCTCTTTTCTCAACTTCAATGAAAATATACCATTAATGATCTAATTAGCCATTTCTTTTTATATCATTTAGAGAGTTTCGAGCCAGTGATGTTGTCTTAGCAACTCACTAGAGATAACTACTCCTATAATAAAGCAATGACGATTGTATTTTCAATGAAAAAGAAATTATGGTTCATCGCCGAGTTTATAGTAAAGTTTGATGACTCTAATCAAAATCTTATTAATTATGGATTTGCAATAATAATATGGTGATTTCTTGGATTTTAAACCTAGTATCAAAAGAAATTTCGACAAGTATTATTTTTATGAGTTTGCATTCAAAAATTGAATTGACTTTCATAACTGTTTCCAACAAAGCAATGATCAAAGAATATTTCAAATTAGAAGACACTTTATTGACCATGTATATAACCAAAATTATGTAAGTGTGTATTTTAATAAATTGAAAGCCATTTGGTAAAAATTAAATAATTTTTGGCTTGTTTATATTTGTTGAAAATGCAAGTGTGGAGGCGTTGGTGAAGTGAATAGTTATTTAAGAGGGAATACATTTTATCTTTCTTCATGGGCTGGAGTTGTAGTTTCTCTTAGATATGAGAACAAATCCTTCTTATGGATCATCTTCTATTAATAAATGTTTCTCACTAGTTTTCCAAGAGGAATGATAACATACTATTAATTTTGGTTATATTTTAAAGTTAAATGAGCCATCTATAGGAGTGGCTTTCATGATTAAAAGTAAAAATTTTAAAAGACCTTATAGGAATAAGACTTCAATAAGAGACATACTTTTCTGCATTAATTATAGTATTCATGGTCATAGGGTTGAATGCCATTATAAAGCTATATTTATGCTCTTAACTATAAACAGAGAAATAAGAATCTAACTACTATTAATTAGGTTGACACAAGCTAGAGATAAATCATATCAAGCTAGTGTTGATAATTTTATTTAGAATTCCTCTCAGTATCAACAATTGATGACACTTTTGTCCAGTCATATGATAAACTTCATTAAATTCTCAGAGTTTCAAGACAATCTTCGTATTTCACACAATGCAGGTATTTATTTATATGCTTATTTATATTTAAATTTTGTTTTAATTATAAATTAAATAATTGACTTAGGAGCATCAAAGTATATCTATTTTGATGCAACTATATTTAGTTCTTTAAAATCTACCTAGAATTTTATGACTACATTACTAAAAAAATATTTCCATTAAATCCATATAGAGATGTCACAATAAATTCAGACGTAGTTTTAAAGAAAATGCTTTATGTACCAGATGATAATTTAATTTATGTGGATGTTATTACAAATTATTCAGATCTCACATTTATTTTTTCTCCTTATCATTGTATGATCTAGGAGTCCTACAATAAGAAGATGATTGGTCAGACTGATAAATGATATGACCATTATGTTTTACAATAAAATAAACTTACACTAAAATATGTGGATTCTATTTTTATCAATAAAGTTGTTGCTCAAACATGGCACAAATAAAGTCATTCTATTTTTATTTGTCCTCTAGACAAATAAAATGTTTTCCATTTGAATCTCACAATAATATGTCTCAAAACTAATTTGATCTTGTACATTATAAAATATGAAGACTATTTTCTGTATCATTGTATAATAAATACAAATATTTTCTTACAGTTGATGATTCACACATTTTATCTCGGTCTATTTTCTCAAAAATAAGTCTTATGATATTGTTTCAATTATACTTTTCTTCAAAATGGTTAAAAACTAATTTAATTTTCATATCAAAGCTTTGAGGTCAGATAATGCACAATAATTTTTCCTTATTGATTTTCTTAATGAAATTGGATCTTGCATCAATTTTCCTATGTGGAAACTCTATAATAGAATTTTATAGTGGAGAGGAAACATGGACATCTATTGAATGTCATTAAAACTATCTACTTTTAACTGAAAATACCTCTACATTTTTGGAATTAGTGTGTAGCTTCTGTAGCATTTTTAATTAATAGAGTGCCTTCTCGTTTTCTTCACAAAAAATCTCCTTATGAATTACTTATAAGAGGATTTTGATTACTTATTTCTCTGGGTATTTAGATATCTTGTTTATTGTAACACTCAACTAAAATTTTATTTATTTTATTTTTTTATTAATAAATATAATTTTTAATTATTTAATTTATTTTATTATATTTTGTTTTATTTAATTTAATAAAAAAATTGGGTAAATTGATAAATGATTAAATTAAAAATAATTTTAAAAAAAATGGGTGAAAATTTACGTTTTGGAAGTATTTTTAAAAGAAAAATTAGAAACCGGAGTCAAAACGCAATTTAAAAAAATTACACCACGTTAGACGCCCGTCAGCAACCCCGACCAACCAGGATGCGCCAAGTGGCAGAGGCGTGATGCGGGAGTCATGCAGAGAGCCATATGGGTGATCTGCGTGCGCGTATGGACGACTGAGTCCGT